TGCCTTCTTGCATTTAATTTAATATTACAGTCTTTAAAAATATGCGCAAAGCTTAAATAATATTATTAAATTAAAGTAAAGGGATTATTTTGAAGACACTTTTAATCTGAGATATGCATTAATAGCACTTTACCTTCTTGCATTTAATTTCATGTTTATTTGAGTTGCATTTTGAAATTGAGTTTAGTTTACCTTTTTGTGCTTTAATACATTTTTATTTATAGTATTAAAATGTTCATAAAAAAGCTTAAATAATATTATTATATAGGAGTAAAGTGGTTATTTTGAAGACACTTTTAATCTAAATTATGCATTATTAACACTCTGCCTTCTTGCATTTTATTTCATATTTATTTGAGTTGCATTTTGAATTTGAATGTATTTTTTTATTCAATTCTGTTGTGCTTAAATGCATTTTTATTTATCCATCCTTATAAAACATTTATTTTTATTGCATTTTTATTTATAGTCTTAATGTTCACAAAAAAGCTTCAATAACATTATAAAAAAGCTTTTTGAGATGATTTTAATCTGAGGTATGCATTAATAACACTCTGCCTTCTTGCATTTAATTTAATATTGCAGTCGTAAAAAATGTCTCAGTTGCATTATTAATTAGTGCTATTTTAAAGTCTTGTATTAGAAGATTGTTATATATTCAGTATTTTGAGTAATCAGCAAGCTTTGTAGAAAAAAAAATTATTATAAATTAAGTAGGGTGGCACGGTGGCTCAGTGGTTAGCACTGTGGCCTCACAGCAAGAAGGTCGCTGGTTTGAGTCGTGGCTGGATCAGCTGGCGTTTCTATGTGGAGTTTGCATGTTCTCCCAGTGGGTTTTCTTCCGGGTGGTCCGGTTTCCCCCACAGTCAAAACACATGCTCTATAGGGGAACTGATTAACTAAACTGGACATAGTGTATGTGAATGAGTGTGCATGGGTGTTTTCCAGTACTGCGATGCAGCTAGAAGGGCATTCGCGGTGTAAAAAATATGCTGGTTCATTCCGCTGTGGCAAACTCTAATAAATAAAGGACTAAGCCGAAGGAAACTGAATAAATAAATGATTTAAGTGTGACTTTATCCAAATATAAAGTATTTTAAGTGCAAGCCAGCTTGTTTAACCTGCAGATTTGATTGGTAGAGTATTTTTCGGTGTACAGTATCTACATGTACAGTAAGACAGCATATAAATTATTCAAAGTTTAAAGGTCGAAATAATCAAAAATGAACTATGAAATTCCCCTTGTGACATTGAATAATTATAATCACTGAGCGCTCTGATCCAAACATTTAATCTGACATTTACATGTTGGTTCCATCATTCTGCATTATATATGAGTTCAGAATCAGACTGAGATCTAATATTTCTGCATCAGCGGAGTCTGAGAGGTGCTGCAGAATGATGGACGTGTGACAGAGAAATACATGTGCAGGAGTCCTGTCATTCTGCATTTAAAGTTAGAAATGATGCATACTGTATTAGGGAATGAGAGAATACAAACAGGGGCTTTGCTAGTGTTCAAATTAAAATACAATAAATTAAAATAAAATAATAAGGGCGTCACGGTGGCGCAGTGGGTAGCACATTTGTCTCACAGCAAGAAAGGTCGCTGGTTCGAGCCTAGGCTGGGTCAGTTGGCATTTCTGTGTGGAGTTTGCATGTTCTCCCTGTGTTGGCGTGGGATTCCCCCAGGTGCTCCGGTTTCCCACAAAGGCCAAAGGCATGCGGTACAGGTGAATTGGCTATGCTAAAATTTACCGTAGTGTACGAGCGTGTGAATGAGTGTGTATGGGTGTTGATGAGTGATGAGTTGCAGCTGGAAGGGCATCCGCTGCGTAAAAACATATGCTGGATAAGTTGGCGGTTCATTCCGTGGTGACGGCCCCAGATTAATAAAGGGACTGAGCCGACAAGAAAATTAATGAATGTGAATAAAATATAAAATAAATAAAATAGGGGCTTTGCTAGTGTTAAATAAAAAAATAATAATAATAAAATATAAAATAAACAAAATTCAAAATGCAATAAAATAAATGTTTTACAAGGATGGATAAATAAAAATGCATTTAAGCTAAAAAGGTCAAATAAATTAAAATTAAAATCATTTATGTTAACAAAATTTATTCAATTCAAAATGCAACTCAAATATTTTGATATATAAGGATAAATAGATAAATAAAAATGCATTTGAGCACAAAAAGTAAAACAATAAAATTTGAAAAATAAAATATTTATTAATACATTTAAAGTAAATTTACAAATTAATAATAATAATAATAATAATAATAATAATAAAATAATAATAATTGATTAATTAAAACATTATCAATATTTTTCAATTATTTCCCAAATGATGTTTAACAAATTCAGGAGTTGTTCACAGTGTTTCCTCTAATGTTTGTTCTTCTGGAGAAAGTCTTATTTGTTTTATTTCGGCTACAATAAAAGCATTTTTTTTTTAAATTAAACCCATTTTAAGGTCAATATTATTCGCCCCTTCAGCAATATTAGTTTTGGATTGTCTCCAGAACAAACCACTGTTATACAATGACTGGCCTAATTACTATAACCTAATTAACCTAGTAAAGCCTTTAAAAAAATAAAAAGGAAAATAAATCATTAATTAGAAAAACAGAAATTTATTGATCTCTAAAAGTTGCTACAGAAAGACTAAACTCAAGTGAACTTCTGAACATCTCTGTAAGACTTTTACATATTTAATGACTAAAAATAAATGATGAATAAAGTCAGTCTGGTGGGACTGCGTCGCCCACCAGTGAATCTACATGTACATCTGCTGCATGAAGAAATTAAAACACGCCGAGAGATAAAACACAATGTGAAATACCTCAACTTCAGACTGCAGCCTTTTGCATTCATTCATTCATTGTCCTTCGGCTAAGTTCTTTTATTTATCACAGGTTGCCACAGTGGAATTAACCACCAACTATTCCAGCATGTTTTACATAGCGGATGCCCTTCTAGCTGCAACTCAATACTGGGAAACACCTATACACACTCATACCACACAGCCAATTTAGTTGACCAATTCCCCTATAGTGCATGTGTTTGGACTGTGGGGAAAACCGGAGCACCCGGAGGAAACCCATGCCAACACGGGGAGAACATGCAAACTCCACACAGAAACACCAACTGACCCAGCCGAGGCTCAAACCAGCGACCTTCTTGCTGTAAGGCCACCATGTCACCCCCTTTTGCATGCATTTCAGTAAAAAAAAAAAAAAAAACTCAATTTTACTTGTCTGATATTCACAATTTTACATGCATCTCACATCATCATCTTGTCAGAGAAATTGCTTGCATTCACAGCCGTCTGAAGAAAACCCAGTCCATGCAAAAGCAGCAACTATTAAGACGTTTTCATTTCGAGACCGCTTTATACTCAAGTCAAAGCAGCTTTTCAGAGATAAAAACTGATGGAAAAGTCATCAGGTGTGAACTCAAGTGAGTTCAGTACAGCATAACAGAAGAAATATAAAAAAACAGCTCTATTGGAAAATATTTTACAATAAAATGTGATTAAAAAGCAGAGCTGATGCAGATAAAGCTTGAGAATTTTTTAATCTATCCTGCAGTATCTGTGAAAATCCTGAGCATCAAATAAAAAAAAAAAGAAATTAAAAAAAAACATTTCTGGCATCATAAAAAAAAAATTTAAGAAAAATTTAAGAAAAAAACAAATTAAATTAAAAAATAAAATGGTTTCATAATGACAGATACAGTTGAAGTGAGAATTATTAGCCCCCCTGATTTATTAGCTCCCCAATTTCTGTTTAATGGAATTCTTTCTACATATTTCTAATCATAATAGTGTTAATAACTCATCTCTAATAACTGATTTATTTTCTCTTTGCCATAATAACAGTAAATAATATTAGACTAGATATTTTTCAAGACACTTCTATACAGCTTAAAGTGACATTTAAAAGGATTCACTAGGTTAATTAGGGTAACTAGGCAGGTTTGGGTAATTAGGCAAGTTATTGTATAATGATGGTTTGTTCTGTAGATTATCAAAAAACAATATATAGCTTAAAGGGGCTAATAATTTTGTCCCAAAAATGGTGTTTAAAAAAATTAATAACTGCTTTTATTCTAGCCAAAATAAAACAAATAAGACTTTCTCCAATAGAACAAATATTATCAGACATACTGTGAACATTTCCTTGCTTTGTTCAACATCATTTGGGAAATAGTTAAAAAAGAAAGGCAAATTCAAAGAAGGCAAATAATTCTGACTTCAACTGTACATACTGTAAAAATACATCGGCAATGCATGATTGCAAACTAGATAAAAAATAATAATGATGAAACAATGTTTAAAATAAATAAGCAATAATTGTGCAAATGAATAAACAAATGTTTACAAATTAGATTAAAACTAATATTTTTTAAATAAAGGCAACACGGTGGTTAGCACTGTGGCCTCACAGCAAGAAGGTTGCTGGTTTGAGTCCCGGCTGGGTCAGTTGGCATCTCTATGTGGAGTTTTCTAATAATAAAACAATGTTTGAAATAAACAAGCAATAATTGTGCAAATAAATAAATCCGGAACTATTATGGGTTAAAAATGCTATGAAGTACAAATATTCCTTTTTTTATTTCTATTAGACAATTCACCACATCGATGCTCAATAAAATATAGTTTGGTGCAAGTAAAAGTTGAGAATTTTTTCATCTGTGAAAATCTTGAGCATCGACGTTATTCTGAAATCAAATATTATAAAATAAAAGAAATATGAAAAAGAAATTCTGAAAAAACTCTGCCGTAATAAAATAAAAATAATAATAACAATTAAATTAAATAAAAATTATTAAATAAAAAAAAATTAATAAAAAAATGAAATAAAAAAACAAAAATTAAAATTGCAATTAAAATAAATGTTTTATAAGAATAGATAAATAAAAATGCATTGTATAAAGTGTATAATAAAACAATGTTTAAAATAAGCAAGTAATAATTGTGCAAATCCAGTGCTAAATAAATCCAGTACTATAATAGTTTAAAATGCTACAAATGAAGCACAATTATTCAGTGTTTTTTTTTTTTTTCAAAAAATAGCAAAATTCTTCAGATTAATGTTGAATAAAATATGGTTTGATGCAAATAAAAGTACAGAATTGGTATCTGTGAAAGTATCTATGCTATTGTGAGACTCTTAAAGTGACAGTTCACCCAAAAACACAAATTCAGCCATCATTTGATTCATTATTAATCCGATAAAGTAAATGATGAAAGTTTTTATTTATTTATTTATCTATTTATTTATTTATATGCCTGCAGGTATGTGCATTCATAAATCACACGAGCACAGTCCTGGACTGTGTTATCAACCTCTGTTCCCTACGTTAGTCCCCTATTGGATGGGGAATAAACTTATTCACCAATTTAAAATATAAAAGTATGACTAACTGTATTACGGTTACGTTGAACAGTGCATTAGCATGAGATTTGGAACGCACCTCTATGCAGTACTGGAATAATCCGTGGTAGACAGGTGACAAGGTTTTTATTTTGTTTATTTATTTGTTTATTTATTTATTTAATACATCTGCAGGCATGTGCATTGACAAGTAGTCTTGGGCTGTGTTATAAAGCACTGTTCGATATGTTAGTCCTCTATTGGAAGGGGAATAAAGTTTTTTACCAATTTAAAATATTAAAGTATGAGCAATTCAATTCAATATTATTTGTATAGCGCTTTTTACAGTAAATATTGTTTCAAAGCAGCTTTACAAAACTTTACTGCATTACAATCAAATATAAGTGATTATATACAGACAAAGTTAATCTGCAGTTTTACTGCATATAGGTGATGTCTGTGTACATGTTTAATGGAGTTTAATGAAGTGCATTAGAGTGTATGTGTTGTCCTCAAAGTCTTTGTTGGTTGGCATATGTATTACAATAACACAGAACAGCGTATGTGTGTGCAGTTTGAGTCGCACCTACTCTATGCAGCATTGGAACAACCTGAAGGAGAGTAAATGATCAAAGTTTATTCATTTCTGTTTTACGCCTGCAGGCATGTGCATTCATAAGCAGAGTCCTGGGCTGTGTTATAAACCTCAGTTCCCTACGTTAGTGCCCTATTGGATGGGGAATAAACTTATTTACCAATTAAAAATTTAAAGTATGACTAACTGTATTACAGTTACACTGAACAGTGCATTAGTATGAGATTTGGGACGCACCTCTATGCAGAAGTGAATAATTCAAGGTAGAGTAACTGAGCACAAAGATTTGATTTATTTATTTATTTATTTATTTATTTATTTATTTTTATTTTATTTTATTTTTTTTTTGTTATACGCCTGCAGGTATGTGCATTCATAAGTGCAGTCCTGGGCTGTGTTATAAACCTCTGTTCCCTACGTTATTGCCCTATTGGATGGCGAATAAACTTATTTACCAATTTAAAATATAAAAGTATGAACAACTATATTACATTTATGCTAAACAGTGCATTAGCATAAGATTTGGGACACACCTCTATGCAGAACTCGAATAATTCAAGGTAGAGTAATTGATCACAAAGATTTGATTTATTTATTTATTTATTTAATATGCCTGTAGACATGTGCATTCATAAGTACAGTCCTGGACTTCGTTATAAACCTCTGTTCCCTACATTAGTGCCCTATTGGATGGGGATTAATAACTTATTTACCAATTTAAAATATAAAGTATGAGCTGAACAGTTCATTAGTATGAGATTTTGGACACACTTTCCTTATGCACATCTATGCTTGAATATTCTGAGGTAGAGTAAATGATCACAATGTTTTTATTTATTTATTTATTTATTCAATTACATTTATTTATTTAATATGCCTGTAGAAATGTGCATTCATAAGCAGAGTCCTGGGCTGTGTTATAAATCACTGTTCCTTACCACCTTTCCCAGACATTGAGTAACAAAGTGCTTTAAAATAATAGAAAACAACTAAAAGATCACCTGACAATAAAATAAGGCATGTTAAAAAATATTAAAAGTAATTAAGAATCCAAATACAGAATCACTAATGCTGTTAATTAAAAGCTTGACCAAAAAGGTGTGTGTTTAAGTGTGGTTTATTCATAAACTAATTTCGAGAGGATCACGTGCTTATAATCAACACGGCTGGCTCCTTGTTAGCTCCGTAATCAGCCCTATTAGATGATTACGGAAGCATTATAAATATCCTGAGTTTTTCACTCCAGTTATCTTCGCCTTGAAGCTCCCCCCCTTTCCACCCCTATATCCCCCCACTTTTTCTAATCGGGCGACACGGTGGCCCAGTGGCTAGCACTGTTGCCTCACAGCAAGAACACCGCCAGTCCAACCCATCGGGCCGGTTGGTGTTTCTGTGTGGAGTTTGCGTGTTCTCCCCGTGTTCGCGTGGGTTTTCCCCGGGTTCCCCGGTTTCCTCCCACCGTCACAAAAACATAAACCATAGCCAATCGACTAAAACAAATTATCACCCAATACAACCCGA